GGCCACTGAAGCGAAACCTGGGAACAGTTCGTCAATGATACGTGGGACCACCTCCCACGCCCAGCCTTTCTCGGTCATGGGTTTGAATTGCGCATTCTGGGGCAACTTCTGCACGCCAATCGTATCTGAATCAACCATCTGCAATGACTTCTCCGACGTCCTGCCCTGCACCCCTGCCAACTTGCAGAGAGCCGTGGCGTGTCCACACCCGACTGTAACGTACCGCTCGGAACCATTAACTGGCGCTAGAAGCCCATCGGCTCTGTCCACCAGCACCTTGTTCTTAGCAACGTGCTGCCAACGGGCGGGCGAATGGACTCCAAGCTCGATGCACACGGCATTTGATAGCTGGCGCATGTCGGCACCAGCTGCATGGATCCGAGCAGCATTGCGATGCACATTGTGCGGGCTCAGAAGAAGCCCTCCACGGTTCGCACTGTGTGCGAGGAAAAATTGCGGCTCGATGCTGTTCACGGTGTACGCCAACTTGTGTGCCCGAAGGCAGGTCATCAACATATCCATATGCTCGTTCGCCTTCGTCTTTTTCAAAATCAAAATATTCTGGAACTCCGTTTGGAAAACTTCCGTAAGCTGAGACATAGCTGAAGAAAGCTGCTGGAAGCTATAGCGACTGCTTTAGGCCGAACATTCTGCAACTACGGATGGTAGAATGCAACTGCACAATCACAAAATATTTCTCGAAATCGTCGTGTCCAATGCTCATACCTTTTATCCACACTTCAATGTTGAACATCTGCTCTGCATGCTGATGTTGAGTCCTCCGAACTATCCCTGGGTAAAGTTCACCAAATGTTTCAGAGCTTGTTCACCGACAAATGGGTTCTGACATGTTCTTTGGATTCCCAACGTGAGCTGGGTTTGCAAAGGGAGCTATGTTTGGTTGGCAACGGGAGCTATGTTTGGTTCGAAAAATGTCAACGTTTGGTTTGCAACGGGAGCTATGTTGAAACGTGGAGATATGTTCATGTTGGGCCTTTGAGAAAAACGAAGTCAACATTTTGTCGGAAAAAGTTTTTCATGTTAGCCTATTATGAGCATCATGTTAGCCTATTCGAAAATTTATGTTACTTTAACATATGTGTTTGAACTTCATTTTTTCCAAAAAAAACTATGTTAAACTAACATAAACAGTTATGTTAGCATGAGATAACTGAGTTATCGCAGTTATCATAGTTATCCAACATAAACCATAAACTATTTAGCAACTGATAAACCTTTATACATCTTATGTTGGATTAATAAAAGCCATGCTGACTTTAGCTAACTATGATAAACCAGCTTACTACCTACAGCAGCTTGTCGCTGATTTGTGAGAGGGTTGTATGAACGTTGTAACAACCTTAGCAACTCGCTATAAAGCTCATAAGCTTTAACAAAGCCGACATTCATCTCAGTGCCAGCCCGAAGCCGCCGCCCGGGCCCGGCGCCGCCGCCACACCAGCGGCAAGCCCAGCAGACCCTGCGCCAACCGGCGCTGGCTGCAGCGCGCCGCGGAACTGCTCCAGCAGCCCTGCCACAACAGCCTGCGAGGCGGGGGGCGCGGCGGCCGCCAGCGCTGCGAAGGCCGCATCGGGCCCTACGGCGGGGGCACCGGCTGGCCCAGGGCCACCTGCGGGCCCAGCGGCGCATCTGGCAGCCGCCTCGGCCCAAACAGCTGCCAGCGTCTGCTGCGCGGCCGCCTCCTCGGCCTCGGCCTGCGCGGCCAGCGCTTGCAAGTCCGCCGCGGCGAGCGCCGCCTGCTCGGCCACCTCCGGCGGCCCGGCGCGCCTTCAGGGCCGCGTCGGAACGGCTGCGCAGGGTGTCCACCGCCGACTGGAGCCTGCGCTCGAGCGGCCGGGCGGCACGCTCCGCCTCCACCAGCGCCGTCTCCTCCGCCTCGTACTGCGCCAGGTGCCCGGCGAACTCCGGGAAGGCCCTCAGCGCGGCAATGCGAGCGCGCACAGCGGTCAGGCGCTCCCCGGTCGCCGGCTCGGCCATCGTGGCATCGGCGGTCTCCGCAGCCGCAGCCGCAGCCGCAGGCACCGCCTCCGCGGCAGGGCGGGACGCCGCGTCGCCCTGCTGCCCTGCCGCATGCCGTGCCCAGGGCGCCCTCGTGGCCGGCCTGGGCGCCCGGCCCTCCCGCATAACCGACACGGAGGGCACGTCCGACCGGGGCGCACGGCGACCGCAGCCCCGGCAGGCCGCGCGGCACGCCCAGTTGTCGGCCACCCCGCATGGGCAACTCCACATTGGTTGCCGTGGGCCGGCCAGCCGCTTGGCAGCGTCCCCATCCCGAGCACCCGCCCCACCGCGCGGCTGCTGCTGCTGCTGCCGCTCCGGCGGCCGCCGCTGCCGCCTCCTCGAACCATCCCCAGCAGCCGCACCCGCCGCCCCGGCGCCGAGCAGCGTCCGCAGCGCCGCCAGCGTCTCCCGGTCGGAGCGGCATGGCCCCCCGCCCGGAGCCTGCTGCCCGCGCGCGTGGCGGGGGGGCATCTGGCGGCTGTGGTGTTGCTGCAGCAGGCCGGCCGCCTGGCCAAGCCGCACCAGCACGCGCGCCTGCCCGCGCGCCCGCCGCTGCCGCCGGTGCCCTGCTGGGCTGCCTGTGCGTGGCTCGCGGGCCGCCGTCGCGGCCTCGCCTGGGCCCAGCCCCGGCCCCCAATCGCAGCGGACGCGCCCCCGCGCGCGCGCTGGCTGAGAGGACCTGAGCCGAACCTTGAGCCAAAATGTTTGCACCATTTTTGCACAATTGTTCACTACATGTTGCTAGAGCTTTATAGTGTCCTCAAAGCCCCCTAGCTAGCTATATAGGTCATGCACTCATCCAAGTGGACCTCCTCCCCTGGGTCCCTAACTCCACCTTGGCATAGACCCCCCTCGGCGAGCCCCCGCGGAGGCTCGAGGCACAGGCCCGCGGGCCCGACGCCGGCGGGGCCGGGCAGGCCGCACGGCCCGGGGAGCGCAGCCAAAAAAGAGTCCACCACGGCGGTGAGAGGAGGAGGAGGAGGAGGAGGAGAGAGAGGATGATGAGGAGATTTACTAGAAGAAGAGAGAGTAGGAAGTAGATGAGGAGGAGGTAGGAAGGCGGCGGAGCGAGGAGGATGAGGACTGAGAATACAGAAGCCGTAGGAGGAGGGAGTTAGGTTATGATTGTCTTGTATTAGTACGTGTAGGGCATTGTTCCGCTTCTTATTAGGCGGCGCAGGAGGATGAGGAAGTAGGCGGAGGCGGTCGGTTAGGAGATGATGACGTCATATGGAGGAGTATTCAGTTGAGGGCGCCTACGAAGAGAAGGAGCTGAGGGAGGAGGAGGCGGAGGAGGAGGAGGTGAGTAGGAGGCGAAGCAGTCGGACGACCGACGACCCCGGCTGACGCTGTCTCGGATGAGGAGGGACTTCGTGCTTCGGCGGAGCGGATGTAGAGGCCCAGGAGGATGCGCACTGGAAGGATTGCTTGCTGAGGTGGGGGAGTCGACACAGTCAAGACGCACAAGGAGGAGGAGGAGGAGCGGGAAGGATGCAAAAGGGCCCTGGAGGGCCACGTCGGCACCTTCCGAGCGGGGCGCGGCCAGCGGAAGTGGCCGGCGGAAGTAGCCTCGGCGCGGCCAGGGGAGGATGCAGGGGCAACCTTGGGGAAACTCGCTCATCCCTACTATGCGCTTTGACTGCAAATGGGGGAGGCGGGGGGGGAAGAACTGAAGAAGTAGGTAGAAACATGAAGTAGGAAGGCGTTGGAAGTAGATTGGGCTTCCGCCCGCCCCCTGAAGAGGAGGGAAGAGGGACAGCCGCTCGACTCTTGAAGTAGGAAGGCGCTTATTAAAGTATATATATGGAATCTGGGAATCCAAAAAGACCTACTTTCAACGACCGATGGGTAAACAAAGAAATGAACAGAGCAATTCGGAGGTTCGCCCAGAGTCCTTTGGATCGGCGCTGGAGCCCCTCCCTGCCGCGTGGGGCGCGCCAGGGGCAGCGCCAGAGGCGCCGCCAGAAGGGTCCAGCGCCGATACAAAAAGTTCGCGCGCCCCTCCGAGCTGTTCTGTTTACGTCGTTGTTTGGTTCTCTGCACGCTGCCCCCCGCCGCACGCATCGCGACCTCCGTCGGCGGTGGACAAACCTCCCTTTAGTAAACCTTCCCTTGGTGAAAACGGCCTGGGACCGACAACGACGAGCATGGACCCGCAAGAATGACGGCCGCGACGCCCTCTCGCGAACCGAAAGCGGCCAATTCCTCAATCGACGTGTCGGGGTAGGAGGTCTTTCTACCCCCGACTCCGGGAAGCCGCGCCGCACTCCCTCGGGCGGGCAGGCCGAGCTTCGGGAGCGGCGCGGGCCGCTGGCGTAGCGGCAGGCCACGCCGAGAGCGAGGGCTGCCGAGGCTCGGCTGCCTGGTGGAGCCCACGAGCTGGGCGGCGGGCCGTCGCCGCGCTGGCGCCGCCTACGGCACCCCGGAGACGTCGGCCTCGAGGCCGCGGTGCCTGCGATGGAGTCCCTCCCCCGTCGGCCGGCTGGGCACCGTGCCCTGGGCAGTTGGCGCTTTCCAGGCCCCGCCCGGGGAGCAAAAACAAACAGATCAACGACGCGCCGGTGCTTCGGCGGACTCTGGGAGGCTGCAGCCGAGGTTGAGCCACGAGGTGGTGCTCCTCCCGACGGGGCCGGCATCTGCAGCGGGCATGGCCGTGCCGATGGACTCCGACGGCTTTTGCACTTGGCTGAGGCGGGTGATTGGCACTTGGCAGTGGCGGGTGCTCGGTTCTGTATCGTCTGCGGTACTGTTTTCCTGGTTGAGCTTTCCAGCTACTCAGGCCGTCTCAGATTCCCAAGGCGGAGGTGCAGTTGCAAAATGCGTCCCTCAGCAGCAGGCCCAATGCAGAAAGTAGATATGGACATGTGTCCGCCGCTATGCTTTGCCCAGAGAGTAGGGCGGGAGGAGGGAGAAGGGGCACAAGAGGGGGGGAGGCGAGGAGGGAGGAGGGAGGAGCAGCGCAGGACGGGGGCATGCAGGACAGGATGGTGGAGGTGAGGGCCGAGGAGGGAGCGGGGAGGAGGGGGCTCCAGGTTGGCTGCCGCGCGGCGGCGCCGGTGCAGCTCGGGCCGCCCAGGCGCCCGAGGTGCAGCAGCGCCACGTCGACCATGAGGTCGCGGCCAGCGTGCGTCTGCCCGGGCGTCTGGCTGCCGGCCGCGGCCGCGTACTCCGAGCCGCACGCGCGCCGGAGGTGCGCGGCGGCCTCGGCCTCGGCGCCGCCCGCGGCCTCGAGGAAGAGGCCCGCGTAGAGCTCGCGGTAGAAGAGGTCGTGCGCCGCGGAGCCCGGGGCGCCCTCGTCGCGCGCCCGCAGCAGCTCGCCCACGTCCGCCTCGCCGCGGAAGAGCCGCAGCGCCGCCCGCGGCACTGACCGCGGGTCGGGCCCCACCCGGGGCATCGCCGCGCGCGCCTGCTCAAAGGTGGCGCCGCCCCTCACCGTGGACAGGCAGTGCCAGATCGCCTCCTCCGAGTCCGCCGTGTTCGCCGCCACGTCCCTCGCGAACTGCGCCGCCGCCTCGGGGAACCGACCCAGGTAAAACAGGCAAAGACCGCGCTGCCAGAGTAGCGCCGCGCGCGACGGGTCGGCAAGCAGCACGGCGTCAAAGTACGCCAGCGCCGCGAGCAGCTGGTGTTGCCTGAACTGTTGCATTCCGAGCTCCGTCAGCACCTTCGCCTGCTGATCTGCCTCCGCCTGCGCGGACAGCTCGCTGCCATCGACTAAACCCTTCGCAGCCGCCACCTCGGCGTCAAACTTGAGCAAATCCGCCGCGACGAGCGGCAACGAGAGCCCACTGCACTCACCCGAATCGAGCGAGCGTTCCGACTTCGCCAGCGCCGTTGCCACGTCGAAGGCGGCGCGCAACGGCACCAGGTCACCCGATGAGTCGAGGCGCAACATAGCTGAGATCTCGCGCAACGTGTTGCGCGCAAGCTCGCTGGTGCTCATCATACCCGGCAGCAGCTCCCCCGCGCTGCGCTGCCCGTCGAGTAGCATCGGTCCCTCGAACACCCTCTCCGAAAGCGCAGCCGCGCGAGCGTGCACCTCCAGCCGGTGCGTGGCAGTGCCGTAGAGCCCGAGGTTGAAGCGCATGATGCTCGCGTGCCTCGAGTCAAAGCGCCGCTCCAGGCCGTACACCACGCCCAGTGGGTGCTCAGCGAGCTGCGAGGCGTTGTACTCGCGCTCGTGCGCGTCGATTTCCGCCAGGTCTTGCGCGCTGAGCCGAAGCTCAAAAATGGACATGGTGACGTCCAGGTGTTCCTCGCTGCGGCTGCCGAGGATGATCGCGCCCACCGCTGGCCTGCTGAGCACCCATGCCGCGGCCACCACGGCTATGGTCGTGCCGTGGCGGTCGGCGACGCCGCGCAGGATGTGCAGCAGCCGCTGGAATCTGCCCCAGCCCCCCGACTGGCGGATTATCAAGTAATACTCGAAGAACAAGAACGGCATGAACATAACTTCTCGGAGGTCCGCGCGGAGTTCTTGGATCCGCGCCAGACCCCTCCTTGGCGCGCGGAGTGCGCCAGGGCCAGCGCCAAAAGCGCCGCCAGGGAGGCCCAACGCCGACCCAGGGAAGCCCCGCGGAGCTCCGAGAAATGAGGTGTATGCCGGCTGTTGCTCGTCGAAATACTTCGTGTGGCTCCTCGTCGGCAGCTTGCCGAAGTCGGTCAGCGACTCCATGCTCAGCTCCTCGACCTCGCCGTGCTCGGCGTCCAGCGGGTCGGGCGCGCCAAGCCACCGGTCCGTGAGGAAGCCGCCCGCTAGCACGCCGTAAGGCAGCAGCACGGCACCGGTCGCCTGGCAGAGCGGTACCAGCGCCGCTTCTGGCCTGCGGTCCAGGACGCTGTACTGAACCTGGTTGGAGACTACCTCCAGACCAGCGTCCTGCTCAGGCGCGCAGGAGGGGGTGGAGCGACGGGGGAGGAGGCCTGCTGAGGAGGCAGGGGGCTTCTCAGAAGGGATTAAAGGCTCCTCGGGAGGCTTCTTGGAGGGCCGCCACTCCCTCGCCCCTTACGCCTCTGGCGCGCCGCCGCGTCCTGCAGCTCCGCCATCCGCTGCGCGTCAAAATTGGTGAGGCCGAACTGCACCACCGCTGGGTGCGCCGCCAGTGCCTTCGCGGCCTCCACGTAGCCGCCGCAGTCGAAGTCCCACCAGTGGAACTGCACGAGGTCTAGGCGCTCCAGGCCCAGGCGGTTGCAGCTCCTGCGCACCATGCACTCCACCACGTGCTCGTTCACGCCGCCACGGCGGATGAGGTCCAGGTCAGGCACGAATTTCGTGTGCGCTTGCACAGCGGCGCCGGCGCCGTCGCAACGCCGCAGGAACTCCCCGACCAACGCCTCGACGCCAGTGTAAATGTCGCCCATGTCCAGGCTCGTCAGCCCCCGCGCGTGCCCCGCGAGTGCCCCGCGTAAGGCCGCTTCGCGGTCGAAGCCGGCATGATGCCCGCTGCTCAGCTGCCAGCCCCCGCTAATCACGCGGCTGCAGTCTTGCGACCCCAGGGCCGCGCGCGGCGCCATCGCTGGGCCTGTGCACGGAACCGGCTGCACCGCCGCCGCCATCACAGCTCTCGACGGCGCGCCCGAGGAGGTGTGGCGAGGCGGGCTCAGGGCGGCTCTCTGAAAAGGCAAGGACCTCCTTAGAAGGACCCCTTCCCCTACGTACTCGTCCATCTCACAGCCTCCCCCTCCATCCTCTTCTTCGAACCTGCATCCTCCCCTCATCCCCCTCCATCTGTCCCCCCCCGAACGGGGGCGACGAAACCAGCGAGAGAGATTGGGGCCTACGGGGCCGACTTGCAAATAGAGTCTGAGCATGAGCCAACCAAGCGTGCTCGCAGAGTCTGGCCACACAGCCCCGCCCTCCTGCCGCCAGAATCTCGCAACGGAGACGTGTCCCGCAAACCCCTCTTTTCTGACATACGTGGTACTTCGAGAAAAAACCTGCATCCTCCCAAAGGGGCAGGAGCACGGGTTCTGCGTGTGCGGAGGGGTGTCATCCCCGCCCAGATGTGCTGTATAGCAGCAGGTGCTGCAGAATCCAAAGCGAGTCTTGAGGGCCGGCCGCGCCCCCGCGCTCAGTGCTTCCACCGACTCCGCCCCGTCGCTGCGCGCGAGGGCCGCTTCCGCCAAAACTGCGTACGCATGGAGGGGGGGCTCTCCGCACGGCGCCGCGCCCCCTCGCAGCCCTCCCCCCCCCTCCCGACGCCGCGCCGTGCCCGCGCCCGCTCGCCACGGACCCCGCGCCGGCCGCCGCGCCGCGCCGCGGCGGCAGCGCGGCGGCGGCGCGCTCCGCCCTGCAGTATTTTCCTCTGCGCACCGCGCGTGGGCGGGCGACGCGCCGACGTCGCCGCCGACATCACCGTAGCTGCCGCGGAGCCCGCGGCGGCGCGCGTCTCATGCTCGGGGCGGCGGCGATGCCATCGGCATCCTGCGGGTCGGGGGCGGTGCCCAACGGCGAGGACGACGGCGACGGCGACGGCGACGGCGTCGGCGTCGGCGACGGCAACTGCGGCGACGGCGACGGCGACGGCGACGGCGACGGCAACTGCGGCGACGGCGACGGCGACGGCGACGGCGACTACAGCAACGACGACGACGACGGCGGCGACGACGATGACGGCGGAAGAGAAAACCGCGACACCCACCATCATCCAAAACATTGAAGTTACACACTTCACAAACAATACTTGCACCTAAGGGTTCTGACTTAAGCCGCGTACGTTGGGTAATCCCAACGGCCCTCTGGGCGTTGGTGGTTTCGGGAGTGTCCTCTTCCACCCCTCCTTCCTCCGCTTCGGGGAGGGGTTTGCCCCTCCCCCGACCCCCTCCCCATGCACCTGGACAAGGGGTTTCGCGAGTCGTCGGAGCGTCCAAAACGGCCTCGGCGAGGAAACCCAAATCATTGATTTGACTAAGGTGTTGGCCCCATGTCGGCCTCCTGGGGGGTCGATCTCCTCCAAGATGGCCCCAAGAAGCGCCCAGGAGGCCCCAAGAGGTCCCAAAATGGCCCCAATATAGCCCCAAGAGGCCCCCAAGAGGCCCCCAGGAGGCCCCCAACAGACCCCCAAGAGGCCCCAAGAGACCCCCCAAAGGCACCCAAGATGCTCCAAGAGGCCTCGGCGAGAATGCCAAAACGGCCTCGGCGAGGAAGCCAAACTCACTGGTTTTATAAAGTTGTTGGCCCCATTTTGGCTTTCTGGGGGGGAAGCCCATTAATGCTCCCCTCTTGTTTGATCGACCTCCTCGAAGATGGCCCCAAGAAGCGCCCAGGAGGACCCTAGATTGTTCATTCGTTTTTTCCAGAAGAGTGCCGAGGCGAAGGCGACGCGTCGGGTGGGCAAGAGCCCCACACAACCATGCAGAGAAACGCAGCAATTGAAGAGGTTTTGGGCTGGCGCGGGCAGAAGCGATGGCTACAGAGCGAAAGCAAGCGGACGTGTGTAATAAACAATGCCGTGCACTACTATGTTCATTCCTTTTTGCCAGAAGAATGCTGAGGCGAAGGCGACGCGTCGGGTGGGCAAGAGTCCCACACAACCCACCTTCATGGAATAAAACCCGCCTCCACACAATGCACTGGTCTACCGCATCCACTTCCAAAGTCGTCTGGCCCGAAGAGACAGGTAACTGCGCGAGAACTCTTGGGCGAGCACTGAACAGGGCAGCGGCGGGTAGGCAGTGTTCAAACGGGTCAGGAATCCAGCTTTGGAGGTACCTGTCAGGGCGATGTGAGAGCCATGCGGGTGCGGAACCGAAAGGGGCGGCCTACGCCGCAGTAGTCAAACACGATCTCATTGACGTTGGAGTGGGCACAGAAGCGCCCACGGCTGGGCAAGAGCCACAGCAGGCTGGAGGCAGGATTTTCTTCCTGTGCGGGCAGCTGCCGCGCGAGGGCTATTCGTGACAAGATTGCAAGTCTGTCCGCAAGCCTGTTGGAGTCTAGGACCGCCTGAAAGTCGGCGCCCTCCAGTCCAGGGGGACTTCTCAGGCGGCCCTCGGTTCGAGGACGGCGAGGCGTGACACTGCGAGGGGGCGCACGGGGGGCCTGCGACCATTTTTCGCAGGGGCTGCCCGAGGAAGAAGAAAAAAACACGCCCCACATGATACCTGACTCTAACAAACCCCGCAAGGTGCGAAAAACAGCATCTCGCAGCAAGTCGCACTCGGGGCCAAGCAGCATATCGATTGATACTAGAGCATGGCCTCGCTTCTTCAGCTCTGCGGCGAGCCCGCCAGCCCCGGAAACGAGGTCGAGAAATGCGCGTCGCTCACCGAAGCTGCCTGCACGGAGGGCTGCTCGAAGGCGTTGCCGAAGAGCCGCGGGGCGGCTGCCGCCCACCGCTCGCAGTCGCCCTTCCGGGCGCCGCTGAGGTTGCGCCACGCCAGCGCCAGCCGCCCCGCTGTGTCGCATCTCCTGACCGACGAGGCGGCTCGCCACCTCTGGACCTCCAATAGCGATCGGCAGCCTTCTGCGCGATCGCGCGTCGCGCCCCCGTGCCTCAGACAGCGCGGCGCGAAGCCCAAATCGCCGAGCTTGAAGTGCTGAGAGACAGCGTGGAAGTCGGCCAGGAGCTGCGAGTAGGCGAGGCGAAACAATGGCTCGTCCTCGCGCAGCAGGAACTGAAGGCGTAGAGCGGCACGTCCAATCCAGTGATGTCGGGGTAGATCGAAAGCCACCGTGGAGTCGAACTGGCCCGTCTTGGAGCTGACTGCCAGCTCCTCTGGATGAAGGATTCGCAGCGGGCATCGCAGGACGCCCACACCTCTGCCGGATCCCGCCACCAGCTGCTGGGCAAGCAAGGTCGCGGCCTCCGACGGGCGCAGGTAGCACTCGAACATCGCATGGATGCAGAGCCCGGAGTCTGGCTTCTCCAGCGTGGCCAGCACGGCCGCGAACGCTAGTGCCAGCACTCGAGGGGGTGGCGGGCGCGAACGCCCTGGCTGTAGCCGGGTCCAGCCGGCCAGCGACGAGCGGGCCGCGGGGAAGAGCCGCCGCGCGGGGCCCCCCAACGCAGGCTCCCCCCACGCCACAGCACAGAGGGTGCGCGAGAACGCCTCCCTGCCCACGCCGCGGTCGAAGGCCCACTCGGCGTAGTCGACCAGGGCGCCGCCCCACAGCAGGGGCGCCCACTCCGGCAGCGCCTTCAGCCTGAGCCAGCCTAAGAGCATGGTCAGCGCCCGCAGGTAGGTGAGCTCCGTGGCGGGGCTCGCCCGACTGGCGGCCAGCCGCGAGAGCCGCGGACGCGGCTGCGCCCGCCGCGCGTTGCGCCCGACGGGCCCGGCGCTCACTGTCGCTCGATCGGGATGCCCAGCCCCGGCGGGAGCCCGAAGGGCCGGGCGGCCCGCGCCCGCTCCCCGATCCTGAGGCGCGCAGGGTGGTCCGCCCCGACCGCGGCTGCGCGGCATCACGGGCGCGCTGGTCGTAGGAGGGGTTGATCCAAAAGGCGCGAGGCGGCATTGACGTCGTCGTTCGAGCCGATGTCTACGGATGTTGTGCATCGCCTGTGGTCGTCGTGCTGTGTGTCCACGTTCTGCTGCCCCCGATATCCCGGCATGAATCGCCGCGAGGGAGCGCCGCCTGGGTTGAGCTCAGAGGGGGCCCACCGAAACGTGAACTGGACCCCTGTCGCAATCGAGATCGCACGCACCTCTCGACAGACCACGCTGAGGGCGAAGTGAGCAGTCCTCCCTTTTTCACACGCACATACCACCCCGAGGTTGTCCCCCAGGACGAGGTGCCGGAATCCATGCAGCTGAGTACCCAGAGAACGTTTGACATCAGATTCTCGTGTCCCCTGTCATGGTGTTATGCTAACATCAAAATGACATGACTTGTGTTGCTATGATACGGAATGACATGATTTATGTTGGGCTACATTTTTTGACACGATTCTGTTTTGCATGGAAGACGTGATGTTAATGCATTGGCCACAATTCCAAAGTGTATTGGCATTTTACCGTCATCGCGGTGCAACGGCGCGATGCCGAACCAACCATATAGTTTGAGCCAAAGCATTGAGCCAAAATGGCAACGGAAGAGGAGGAGGAGGAGGAGGAGGAGGAGGAGGAGGAGGAGGAGGAGGAGAAGGAGGAGGAGGAGGAGGAGGAGGAGGAAGGAGAAGGGGAGCCGAAAAAGGAAGAGGAGAGGGCGGAGGAGGAGGAGGAGGGAGGGAGGAGAAAGGAGGGAAGGAAGAGTATAGAAAAGAAGAGAGAAGAGAGAGAGAGAGAGAGAGAGAGAGAGAGGAGAGAGAGAAGACCTGTGGAGAAGCGCGCTTGATCCTCCCACGGTCTCTCACACATCTCTCTCTCTCTCTCTCTCTTATCTCTCTCTCTCTCTCTCTCTTTCTTTTACTCGTCCTTCCCTCCCTTCTCCTCCCTCCCCTCCTCCCCTCTCCTCCTCCGCCCTCCTCCTCCTCCTTTTTCGCTCCCCTTTCCTTCCTCCTCCCCTCCTCCTCCTTCTCCTCCTCCTCCTCCTCCTCCTCCTCCTCCTCCTCCTCGTACTCCCCGTCGGTGGCGGGGTCGCTGTCGAACCCGTACAATGGGGCATATCTTTTTATGTGTCCTTGTCCGTTTCCTCGCCCTCCTTCCCGCCTCCTCTTCCTCATCTTCCTTGTCGTCATATTCCTCCTCCTCATCTTCCCAGGCTCATAGAGGTACAAACCATTGTTCACTTCCGA